AGATAGAATTTTCGTCAGATCCACCAAGGACATTATTTTCTTATATGCATAGCTCAGAGATTTTTCTCTTTCAGATTACACTTCCCAGAATCCCCCAGCAAGCATATAATTCTTGACAGGGAAGAATTATAAATCATACTGACCAAGATCCTTTCACTGTATGCAATCATGTAAGGGCAACTATGCAAGCTATCTGTTATCAGGCTGCCAAACTCCTTTAAAACATCACATTCTCATTTTGCATTTGCTTGTAGCATTAATGATGGACATAAAAGATGTAAACTGTGGTAGGTGCCTAAAATTTTAGCTTCCACGATTATTGCTCACTGATGTTTACAAATGCCATTATGCTATATATATAGTGTCCAGTTACACATCGTTGGGGATTATGCCTAATTTTGTGATATAGCATCAAACTGACCCATAACTAGTCCACATTCTCACCTCATGGGACCATGAACCTTACTTGTTTATCTTGACTAACTTACTCTCTCAAGCTGACTTACCTTACAGTGTTGTTCTGCAGATAAACAATGGGGAAGAAGAGAAGGATGTGTAGCTCACTGGAGGAAAGGCAACATAAACCAGACACATATATCTTTGGGTTTTGTTTTGTTTTGGTCTGTCTGTTTGTTTAAGTACTTGTTGTGATGCTTGCCATGTGGTCCCTGCTTGTTTCACCAAACAAAGCTCATGCTATGTCATCCCACCAGCTGACCCCAATTGTGACGTTCACTCCTTTGATGGATCTATGTGTTGTGTCCTCACAAAGGGTTCAGTCTTCTCTTTCCCTCACTGCCACCAGTGGATTTCCTTTATCCACAATATAAAAGACTTTAGTCTGGTAACTGCCAACAGAACTTATTTATTGAAGTGTTTCAAATTTAATCACAATCACAAATGTTCTTCAGATGTTCATTGTACACAACCAAATCATTGAAATACCATATATCTTGCCACATAACCAATCACCCCCTGCTCTATCTATTTATCTTGACCAGCTTATCTCTATTAATATTTGTTCCTTCTCTTCTCTCACTATCTCTCTGACTATCGCTCTGCAAATTCTATCTCTCCTGATCTTGACCAGCTTACTCTATTAATATCTGTTTCCTTCTCTTCTCTCACTATCTCTCTGACTATCGCTCTACAAATTCTATCTCTCCTATCTTTCTCTTATCCTATCTCTTCCTGCCAAACCTTTATATATATGCTGACTCCACCCCTCCAATCCTCTCATAGGCTCATGCAAATGAGATCCTGACTATGAGTGACAGGAGTGATGTGGGGCAATCGTCACACTTGTAGTTTTCATCTATATTAATAGTATACTATAATTAAAGCCACAAAAACACTAACACTCATAATCAAATGAAAAACAGCAAATACAGTAAAACAGGAAGATATATCTGGTTAACCTAAATCAGTGGTCCCCAACCTTGGGCCTCCAGATGTTCTTGGACTTCAACTCCCAGAAATCCTGACCAGCAGAGGTGGTGGTGAAGACTTCTGGGATTTGTAGTCCAAGAACATCTGGCGGCCCAAGGTTGGAGAACACTGACCTAAATGGTTTTGAGCTGGCAATGAAACAATTGAACTATTCAGACCCCCAGAGCCATTGACACACAGTACCCTGGGCTGATTGGAGAACAGGTTGTCTTGATTATCGTGTTTGGCCTAAGGAGAAGGATGATCATGATTGGCATAAGGAAAAGGAGCCTTCCAGGTATTTGTGTCCCAACACATTCGAAGTTTTAAAGATAAGCACCAGTGCTTTGCATTATAGTGCATAGGCAACAGGAGCAGCTCCTTCAGAATTGGTGTGTTATACTTCTACTAAGTATTATTCTGCTCTACATTTTATACCAGTTGAGGCTTCTGCCTCATCATCTTCAAGAGGAGCTCAATGTATAACACACCACTGTAATCTACTCTGGGGTTTTCCAGAGCCACTGTGACCAGAGTAAGTCCAGCTAAGATACTTTCCTCAGTGTTTCAAAATCAGTTGTTAAGACAAGGAAGATCAGCCTGTTTGCACTTATCCAGCCTCTCTTCCAAAGGTCGTATGTCAAATGACTAAAGCCATTACAGTACTATATACAGACCTGAAGCAAGATTGAAACTGGTTTAGATCAGGAATGGGAAGCTGGGAAGGTCCAGGGACTAACTTTTAGCCAACAGATTTTTACATACAGAGACAAAGAAGAGGGAAACAAAGCATCTCTGTCTTTGTAAAGGTCTTTTAGAGGGATTGGGCAAAGTAAGATTTAGACTGTGTTCTTTGTATACTCAGTTTCTGAGTAATCTACACAGCATTTGTCATCTAAATTTTCTACATTAGTACACAGGTTGCTTTCTAAAGTGGTGGCACTCACAAAACCGTCAACAGAGAACAGAATTCCAGTAGTGTGGTAATATTTTGTCACAGAAATTGACTTACCCTCTGTTTACACTTTAGATATTATGACATATTAAAGTCATAACTGACAGAGAGAGAGAGAGAGATATTTTAATTTAAAGTTTGTCTTTTGCCAACAATTACTACCTGTTGCTGACATATGATAAGGCATAATGGTTAGAAAGAGCTGCATTAGTAAAGCTATAAATCAATACTAAGACTGGAAAGGAGACTTAATAATTTAAGAAATTCCTCAAGTTACTCCTCTGGTTTATGACATCATCAAAATCCTCAGTTAGAATCATGTAGTGATATATAGAACCAGAAAGTTGGCATCATTAGGGGAGGGGCATTAATGAGCTATTAAAATGTGAAGGTTTATTCTCTCTTTATTTTGTAGTACACTCTGCTAAAATCTCTCTCCTGTAGTTCTTCAGATAATGGTTTAGCTTTGACGACAAGCCAATACTCACAAAGCACAATGGCCATTCATAGCATTGTAGGGCAGTTGTAATTCCCATTAGAGGCATTGCATAACTTGGAAATTTAAAATAAGAAATCATAGGAATTTTGACTTCCACCTCCAGTGGCTGAGTTGTAGTTCGGGAGCGAGCAAAGTGTGGCCTTCCAGATGCAACTCCCATCATCTCTAACTCGCACAACCACTGGTGAGAAATGCTGGGAGGTTCAATCGAATAAGGTCTGGGGAGATGCACTTTGCCTATGTCTGCTTTTGTTCATTTAACTAACAGAATATGAACTCAGTGTGCATTGAAAAAATCCACAAATTGGTGAACAATTTGCTGTGTCTTTTTTTATTTAACTTTTTTTTTTTACTTTGGACTCAATGTCATTTCTAACTGAATAAATCTTTGTGTTCCCAGCTGGAAAGGGTGCAGTACTATGTTTTGTTACTCATTCATAACTTGATCTACTGTCTTCCTCCTTCTGAAGCACAACACATTTCACATTCTTCAAAAAACTTGACCAAGCTCTGCCCCCTCACCACTGAAAGCCCTGCTGCTTGGTCAGCTCAGCATCCAGGGTTTCTTTTGTTTTGTTTTATGGTTTAAATTCACAATTTGACATCTCACCAGACAACACAAGAATCTTTGGTTTCACAAGATTAAAAACAGGATATGGTCAATTATCAACAGGAGACAGTTTTTAAAAACAGAAAGACAGAAATCAATGGGCTGAATGGCAAGTGAGGTAATTTGATATTTCGATAATTTAATAATGACTCTGCAGGTAACTTTTAATGGGTTAAAACTGGAATCTGACACGGACGGATATATATATATATATATATGAATATGTAGCTTCATATATATCTCCATGTTCTCACACATACATATATAAATACCCACCCATGTGTATTTGAGAGAGAGAGAGAGAGAGAGAGAGAGAGAGAAGCCAGCATAAAAGGCATAAAACAAGTTTTATAAGGATGGAGTACAAGAAACAGAAATGGAGGACCAATAGAAGCAAAAGGAAGATAAATAAGGCCTTGGTGCTGAAATTACACGAGGAGCTTGAAAAATGATGGGAAATGGCAGGAAAAATAACAATATGTAGATAGCAGCAGCTATTTGGTGTTTCGAAAGGTTAGATATGTATGTTTTGCTCACAACTGTGGTCTTTGAAAGTGGAAACAATGATTGCTATTAATGATTGCTAAGGGAGCATATCAAGAAGTGAATTTCAAAATGCATACCAATTTTAAACTTGTGTCTGAACATGCACACACAGACCCAAAGCAGGGATAGCAACATGCAGAATAATTAGAAGTAGTTATTAAGGTGTTATATTATGACAGCTGATAGTCAATTAAAATGGAGTTGATTAATCTCCTACTTTCTAATTCTCCAGTCATCAATTTTTAAGAAGAAAACACATAGTACCAGAACCTCAATGTACCCTTATTAGACACTGAAGGAAACATGGGCTTCTATTTCTCAGACTGTTAAGTTACCACTCACTCTCAGAAAGAAACATAGTTTTTAATATTTGTTTTTCATTCCTTTTCATAGGGAAAGAGCAAAGCCAAAATAGCCCTAGAAGAGAAGCAGGTATCCTGTTATCCCTTAACCCAGCCAATAAAAACAGAGCTCACCTATTACTTTTAGCTGTTTAACCTATCAGTTCAAATGATACATAGGTGTAGCCCTTAATGTAATTCAGTTTAAGTCTGAAACCACTGGACAAGTTTAATAAGATGATGTCTGACTGTCACCTCACCAGGCAGAGCACAGCCATAAATCACCTACTCTGTGACCCATGGTTAGCTCAGATTTATAGATATTTATTTACATTTTCATCTTATGCGATGAGCTAGCCTCACCAATATATGCCACCACTCCTATACTCTATTTTGTTTGTGCTGTTTCCTTGCACCTCCATGGTTGATTATAAATATGTCAGCAGGGTTCAATTCTGTATTTTCAAGAATGGCATTCAGGAAGTTACATAGGGTGGAGAAAGAACAAAATACAGATGAAGTTACCAGGTGTTGTTTTTTTAAGTCTGACATGCAGACCTTCTTTAATACTGTGTATTCATATGTAACTACAGTCTATAATAGAAGACCTTTCTTTTACAGGTTCAGAGTCTTCCAGCAGCGCTGGGTCCTCAGGATCTCTTTCACGAACACATCAGCCTCTCACAAATGCATCTGTTGTCCCTGGAGTTACAACCACCTCTTCGAGTAGCATTCCCTATTCAGAAAATGGGATAACTGGCCAGGTAGTGCCAAGCAACACCAGCTATATCATTCTTCCACTTGAAGCTGCAGGGATACCACCAGGAAGTATCCTGCTCAATCCACACACAGGTCAGTCCACTTTGCCAGTCATCCTTTCTTGTGTGTGTGTGTTTTCTTGAAGAATAAATATATTTATCACTGATGTGTATAATTTTCAAATAATATACAATAATCACATACAGTGGTGCCCCGCATAGCGACGGTAATCCGTTCCAGAAAAATCGTCGCTATGTGGATTCGTCGCTATGCGGAACAAAAAAGCCCATAGGAATGCATTAAAACACGTTTAATGCGTTCCTATGGGCAAAAAAACTCACAGTTATGCGCAAAAACCTCCGACAGCTGCCATTTTCGCTGCCCGGTAAGTGAGGAATGGGCACAAAAACACTGCGGGCGGCCATTTTTTTACCTGGTGGCCATTTTGGAACCGCCGATCAGCTGTTCTAAAAACATCGCTATGCGAAAATCGGTAAGCGAAATAGCTTAACGATCATCGCAAAGCGATATTTTACCATTTAAAACATCGCAATGCGATAGCAAAAACGATCGCAAAAAAACATCGCTATGTGGATTCGTCGTTAAACGGGGCACCCGTTATGCGGGGCACCACTGTATTTTTAATGTGACAGTATCTGTGTTACATAAAGTTTTGGTTTAATTATTGTCACTTGCGGCAAGGCAAGAGATAGCTGAATGACGGTGAATGTTAAGCAAAACCTCACATCAGAAGGATAGTATAATCGTGTCTGGGACCTTGCTTATATTGACCAAGGAAGTTAAAAAAAATCAGAGGCTATGCAGACATTTGCAGTTTTCACACTACATGGTTTCCCTTTATATATTTTGCTTTTGAGAATGACTAGAAATGGAAACAAGCTCTGAACATACAGTACATGGTAACTTATAGGCAAACTATTAGAGTGAACAAGAAAAGATAAATACAGTATATGACATGACAAAGTATGTAGATTAATGGGTAACATGCTGTAGTTTCCTACTAAGGAGCCTCAGAATTGCAGCACGGTCATTAAGACTCAGTAGTGCACCAAAAAGCTGTGTGGAAAGGTAGATCATAGTTTGTCAACACAGAGGCAGAGAATGTATAGCTGGAATTAAATTTTTCATTAAGAGTCATTTAGTGTCTCTTAAGAACTTCCTGAATAACATATTATTTGAAAGAAGATCAGCATGGGTTAGATACAACACTGTAAGTTCTGTAGAGGGGACAGAGTTTCTGCTGGTACCAAATCACTATTTCATGGCTTCAGCTACAGTGCAATTAAACATTTACATTTTAATTATTTAGGCTGCAATCCTAAGAACTAATTTTTGGCAATCAGCCCCATTACACTCACTGTGGTATCCTGAGTAGATTTGCAAAAAAAGTGCTGTTAATCAGAAAACTGAATTAACTGATGTAATAACCTCTCTAAAATCACAGGAGACACAAGACACTTATGCAATAAAACAGTATTTTATTACATACAAATGAAGAATAGATTTTAAATGATTTGTGAATTACCTAATTTACTGTTACATTTCAATCTTGTTTGCAAAGAAAATTAGGAAACGGAAGCTCACTTCTCTTGTCTGCCCACACCACTACTTTCAGTGATCTTCATGGTGGCTTAAGGACTCAGAACCTCTGAGGTGTTGCATTTCCACATTGTATGGCATGCAAAAGGTTATATTTTTGTCTGAAGCAAGATGTCATATGACGTTTGGCCCCTGCAGAGATGTTCATTTGGCTGTGAGGGATGGGGGATGCTACTTAAATGTACCTTAAGGGAAACATTGTTTAATGACTGACAAACTCAGCAGCAAAAGAAAAGCAAAACAAAGAGATAACTTTTTGCCCTTCACTTGGAACATTGCCAGAAAACTATAACTTGGATACCTTGATGACTGGTGGAGAATATCTATTAATGTGTAACAGAATTAAATATGATACAAAACCAAGGTAGAGTGATGTCTATATTAGACCACTAAAAATACACAGCAAGAAGCTTGTGTTCAAATTAAATATGCTATTCCATGTCCTCCTTTGACAGTTGCTGTGTTTTTATAATATTGTCTGTAAAAGATACATTATAGACTGATATTTTTCCAGGTCAACCATTCGTAAACCCTGATGGTACACCTGCAATATACAACCCACCCAACAATCAGCAGTCAGTTAGAGGCCAGATGGTTGGACAGTCTCAGCAGTCACCCTCATCACAACAACCTGGACAGCAATCGCAGCAGCAAATTGCAAGTCACCTTGTCACACAGGTATGTATACTACCATGGGAAAGGCTTCTGCCTCTGGGCTAGCAGCTAAATCCCTTGTGAACATTGGACAGTGGCAGAGATGGGAGACATTAATGTTTTGAACTACATTTCCCAGAGTCCCATGGCCAACTCCTAAATGATTGTAGGAGTTGCAGTGGGGGGGAACCTTTCCGATCACTAGCTAGTTCTGTCTCACCTTCAGGACTGTTCCACTCGGAAAGTGAAGAGTTACATAGGACGAACAGTGTTTTTGAGAATGTCTGTGAAATGACACAGTATATAATCTGTATACAAAGAGGTGTGCCCACAGCCTCACTCTGTCACTTTGCAAAAGATGACCTAGTGTAGTCTCTTTGGGCTGACCACACTCTGGGCTCACGTCTCTTCAACTTGACATTAAGTTAGGGAATTATCAGAGAGATAATTGTGTTAGTCAATTTCAGCATATAACACAAAACCAAATCAAACCAAAAAGTATTGTGCTACCTTTAAGACTAACACATTTATTTCAATGTGAACTTTCATGGATTGCAGTACACTTAAATACGTTTGTAGACTGTGAAGCAATAGGCATGCCATACCCATTCTGCTGTTCTGAAATATGCCATTACTAAAGGAGAAGTAGTTATCCATGAGTACAAAGTCAAAAATTTTCATGACAGTGTGTGCTACAGCCTCATTCCAAGTGTTATTTGTGATGGGTTACAGAACGTGTGTGAGATGTTGATGTAAAATGAATCTAGATTTTAATGGCTAGGAGGAAGTGATTTGTGCCCCTCACATTGCTGTGAGCATTGGTTGTGTATAGTTTGAGAGCAAAGTGCATATATGCAGACAGGAGGTTATGGTATCAACATTTCATACAACATACCATCCAAATGTATCAGGTTTCTGCCTTGCTCCAAGCATGTGCCTAATTATTGCACAAGTGGGGCATATTTACCTGCATCCCCTCAGATGGGGAGACAATCTGCCTTGGGCACCCACTGGCTGTTTGAGCTCGCCTGATATGGGTGGAATTAGGGTCTTTATTAGGCTGTCCCACCCTTGTAAAATGTGGTGTTGTTCCTTAGCCTTCTACATATAGTTAATTTTGTTTATGACAACAACAGCTTCTCCTTTATCTGCCTCTATGATTTGCATTTAGCTTTGCATAAAGCACACAGAACACTATGCCACTATTTGCATAGGTGCAGAAAATGCAGTCCTCCTATAACAAAGATTAAATTTCAGTAATGGGATTAGACAACAGGTGGTGTGTTTGTGGCTATCATGATTTGCATAGTTATGGAAGCCTTAAATTGTATAGTTCATATGTCCAGCATCACATTTTATCCTATACACAAGCAATGTTCATCAGTGCCTCTGTGTGTTTTGCAAAAGCTGAAGTTTCATATGTCTCCCAGTGGAGTGGAGAGGTATAAGTTGATTCCATGTGAGGATATACAGATTGCCAATGTGGGAGATGGAAAAAATCTGTTTTGGAAGAATTCAAAAACACTGTAAAACGTTTGAGACATTTGTGGTTCCTACATCCACACCTTCTCTCTCTCTCCCTCTCTCTCTTCTCTCTCTCTCTCTCTCTCTCTCTCTCTCTCTCTCTCTCTCTGTGTGTGTGTGTGTGTGTGTGTGTCACACATACACACAGGAGAAACAGAGACACAGAGAGAATGAGTTACTGTATCAGGAATGTCTAACCCAGTGAGAGGAAGAATGACAGTGACAGATGATCAGAATTTTCCCAGGTCTCTTTTTTGCTTGCCAAATGAAATCAGAGCCAATAGAACTCTCCCCTCAGTGTAACACTTACAGATACAGTGGTGCCTCACAAGACAAGCGCTCCGTTTTACGACGAAATCGCATAACGATGAAGCGATCGCAAAATGTTGTTTCCTATGGGGGAATTTCGCTTTGCGGTGATTGGTTCCCTGCTTTGGGAACCGATTCTCGCAAAATGACAATTTTCCTACAGTTGATCGTCGGTTTCAAAATGGCCACTGGGTAAAAAAAAATGGCCGCCTGCTGTTTTCTGGGATGGATTCCTCACTGCACGGGCAGTGAAAATGGCCGTGCTATGGAGGATCTTCGCTGGACGGTGAGTTTCAAGCCCATAGGAACGCATTAATTGGGTTTTAATGTGTTTCTATGGGCTTTTAAATTTTGCTTTACGATGTTTTCGTTCTACAGCGATTTCGCTGGAACGAATTAACATCGTAATGCGAGCCTCCACTGTATTAGAGTCTGTCTACCTGTGCTATGAACTTGGTAGACCTATCACACTCCATTGTGGGGGGAAACAATGAATTCATCCCAGAGCTTGAAAACTTTCTGCTTTAGGAATACCCAGCTTGGCTAGAAAATTGTGGGAGCAGTAGTCCAAAAAGCAGTTTTTCCAAATTATCCTCTCTATTGTCTCCTTTCTGTAGAGGAGTGATTTGAATTAAAAAAATGCTGCATTTCGTGAGAGTCTCCACCAAGTCCGTAGCTCCACAGATTCAACAGTTTATTACTGATGCAGAGTTGCAACAGACTTTCTTTCTTGCACAGCTAACAGAAACCCATTTTCCTGTCTCCTGGGAAAATATTTGTACGTTGAAGTGCAGCATTTATGCCAAAGGGGGACAGCAACCTTAACAGGAAGGAGGAAAAATAGCTTTGGGATTTTAATCATGACAGAATTTGATATAATGCAGCTAATATGAGTACCATTATTCAGCACTTAGAATGCAAACAATGCCTTGGAGATAAGCAAATTATTGTTGGGCTTTTCTCCAGATAATGAAGTAGTAGTCCATGGGAATATAAATTGCAGCAAGAGTGATCATTACCCTGCCTGCATAGTAAATGCAAACCTTTATTTAATTTACATACCTGTCTTCTCCAGATGAGCATGATGATTATTGTCTCCTGATTATTATATTGTGCACAGAATGGCTTTCTATTAATTGAAACTTTGCTTGTCATATTCTTTAATATCAGTGAGTCATCCCTCCTGAAGTTCTGACCTTTATCTTTGTGCACAGTGATCCAATTCATATATTTTTGAAGCCACTCTTGGAACCTGCTGAAGAGCAGGTTATATATCCTTTCAGTGAACAAACAAATACATACTTATTGTGTTTGTAGGGCTCTCTGGTGGTATTGTGCTTTACTGCTAAATAATACCAAGAGTAATAAAGGAGTCACAGTTATGTATGAAATGTTCATAGGCCTAATACTAAGATTTGCTTCACCAGAAGCAAGTCCCTATGGCATTATAACATTACAAAGCCTCACATTACCCAGATATTTCTGGGGCATCATACCAGCAGGAGAAAAATGAGAATATGTACTGAGTTTCTGTATGTTATAATCCAATGGACTTTATGCCTTTTTCTTTAATGGGATTAGGATGATAGTCAGGAAAGGGGAAAAACTGACACCCTAGAAATAGCTGTTTCCAACTAATTGTATCCTGTGTTGGTAGATCTGGAATATGTCACCTCTAGGTCCAGGTTATTATTTTGACCTTATCTTAGATTAAGGTACATCGGTCTTACTTGAAGGGAAAATCTTAATCTTATTTTTTTTGTTCCTTTCTATTTCTTTTCTGACTCAGCCTATTCAGGCTTTGCAGCCTTCTTCACAATCTGTCCAGTATCCAGCAGTTTCCTACCCCCCTCAGCATCTTCTGGCAGTGTCTCCAACACAACAGTTTCCTGTGGTACTATTGATTTTTATTACCTTTTATGTGGATTGATTCCATTGTCTGGGCATGCTTTCTGTTTGGGGGGCACAGCTTTCTGGAAAAACAGAGTATGATTGCCGTAAATCTTTTGTCTTACGCAGTGCCCTGAAAATAATTGTCATTTAGACCCACAAAATCTGGCCAAAAGTAATTCCTGAAAGCAGGACAAGACTGCCAACAGTGTATGTTGGTGTATCTTTTCAAGTTAATGATTGATACGGCATTAGATTTATGTTGCATGTTAAACTGACTCATTCAGTTTATGTGTATTTGAAGAGATGTCATATCTAACAGGGATAGGATTTTAAGAATTAACATCCTCCCAGTCCCATAATTTGACAGGACACCACCCCCACCCAAGTTATAAGACTCACATTCATTAATTCCACTCCATTGTGTCTTATTCCTTTCTTAATATTTTTTCTCAGTTACCATTTATAGATTTTGAAGAGAACTTAGAAAAGCTACTTTGAGGGCATAGGATCTGTTGGGCCAAACTGTTTTTGTAATAGACTGTAGCTCAAATGCTGTAACCATTTCTGTGGAAGGGAATTGTAGGGTTTTCTTACAGTCATGCAAATATAAAATTTATTTTGCAATAATAATAATTAAAAATACCCAGTATGACTCCACACTGTAGTTTAGGCCCTCAGTACAGAATCAAGAATAACATCACCTTGGATTCTGTCCTCAGGCATACAATGTATTTAAAGTGCCAGGCTAAAAGGGCTTCAGCACCACAAATGCCAATCTGCAGATAATTGATAGCCTTCTTTAGCTAGCAAAATGAGAGGTGGAGCTGGAAATGCTGGCAAGCACAAATGACACTTCAAAATGCAACCGGAAACCTAATGGCAAGCAAGCCATTCCAGCCAACACAACCTGTATAGAGGAGCAAACTCTTGATTCTCCAGGAACAGAATAATTCCCTCAGGCACAGTGGTGTGTGTGGCACCAGCAACAGTAATCTGACCTCAGTTGTGGTAAAATGGCTGTCTCCAGTAGGCTGAAAACAGAGTGCCCTGAGGCTCCACACAGAGCCAGGCAGAAGTGACACCACATGTATCATAAATAGGCATAGGTATATGTAGAGGCACATTGCTACACATTCAAGAATAAAGGGGAAAGTTGTACATAAGAAGAGAGGAGTGAAAACTAAAATGGTAATGTGTTCATAACCTCAGTGAATATACAGTATATGCCATGATCATGAAAGTGAACTGTATCTCAGGGACAGGGTTTGAGATGAGTGACAGGCAATCGAAGTATGTGGGTGTATTTTGTGACATATCCCTTGAAAAGGAGATGGTGTAAATATATTCTAATATAACCCCAGTGAACTGTATTTTGTATTTGTTTTATCATGGCAAATAAATGTAATGTCATATGACAAATATACTTGTTTTAAGAAGAAAGATGATTTATCTCTGCTGGAAAGAGCTGAGTCTTAAAGACTCGTACAATGTGACATTGGCTATTTGCTGTTAATAGAGATTACCTCTTTATTCTTTCTCAGTGCAAGTAGAAGTACCTTTCCTACTGTCAAATTCAGTATCTTTTCCAACTCTAGTTTGATTGGACAAGACAGCCAGGGAGACTTTGACATTTCCTTATTCTCAACCTAGGTACACTAGCCAAGCAAATACAAAAAATACAAACATGGAAAGATGTGATGGCATAAGGTTAGTACTGAGGCGGTAGGAGTTCTATGTGAACCAGAGACAGGTCTTCAAAATGGAGCAGTGAAATGATACATGTGAAGCAATGTCTTTCATGCAGCTTAGGAATTATAATTAACTGTTGATTACAGGCAACTTTTTAGTAAGCTAAATAAAATAGTATATAGGTTTTCTCTTTCCTTCCTGCTACATGATTTCTTTCATTTTCCAGCTTATGACTGCCATTATAAAATGTCACATTTTCTCTAGTCCTGTGAAAAGATAGAAACAGAACTCGATGACTCCTTGGAGTTTAAAATTTATGAGGAAAACTGCATATTATTAAAAAATTGCATAACAATGTACAAAAATCTTCCAAATAGGTAGAGGTAGAGGTTCCCCTTGACATTTAGTCCAGTCATGTCTGACTCTAGGGCGTGGTAATCATCCCCATCTCCAAGCTGTAGAGCCAGCATTTGTCCATAGATAGTTTCTGTGGTCATGTGGCCAGTGCGACTAGACACGGAATGCCGTTACCTTCCCACCGTGGTGGTACCTATTTATCTACTCACATTTACATGCTTTCAAACTGTTAGGTTGGCAGGAGCTGGGACGAGCGACGGAGCTCACTCCGTGTGACCCCTTGCAGGCTCAGAGGCTTCTGCAGTTTAACCCGCAGCACCATCACATTGCATTCCAAATAGGTAGATAGATATGAAAAATGTATATATACTTATGGGCAATGCACAATAACAGATATGTTTAGCAATATTAACTGCCATAAGGGTTTTAAGAACTTTATTTTAGCCTCATTTAGAACTATTCAAAAATTATGTTGACAAGACATTTATACAGAAATTGACTCTGAATGAGACCAGACTCCTGGCTTCCTTAATTTAGTAGATGGCCTCAGAACCACCAAATATTTCCATGTGGGCAGTGTAGTCTTGACTCCCATCAAATATTTAGGTTATAGTCTTACACACCTTGGAATAGGTTAGTTCTGAATAGACCTGAAAATAATACAATAGGCAAAATTGCTCAGATGGTGATTTAAAAATCAAGGAATTCTAAATCCTTTGGAATGTCTAGCAAACTGTTCATATGACTTTTGTAATGTGTGTATACAAGTGTATGATCAAATCAGTCCCAAGGACAAAAAACTCATTGATGCTATCAAGTCTAGTATAGAATTCATTCAGATTTTGTGAGGTTTTTTTAATTCCAGAATGGGGC